CCCCCATTTCTGAAGAAGGGTCCCAACCTGAAACGTCAGCTTTCCTGATCCTCTGATGCTGCCTGGCCTGCTGTGTTCCTCCAGCTCCACAACGTCTTATCTCAGACTCCAGCAACGGCAGTTCTTACTATCATTACTTTCAGAATACTGATTACAGATTGCTAATTTCCCTGGTCTAGATTCTTAGCTCAAATTTCTAAACTATAGACGTGGTATGATCCAGACTTCAATATTCCAGTGAAAATAACGGTGTTCCCTTAAAACACTCTGCACCATGGAGACGTCTGGTACCTTTACAGTTCTCCTCTTTATATGGTCTTGTTCTCAGCCATGTTTGCTTCTGTTTATAACCTTATTCCATAAACCAGCTGCCAATTCATTTTACACAAGTTTACACAATGACCCCATGGAATTTGCACACAACAGCTTCGCCATAACTGGAAGCTTACTGTCCTTCCTAAATAAGGTCTATATTTATACAGCACCTCATCACACTGAAATGTCTCAAGGGATGTGACCGTAATTCAGTGTCTCTACTAACTCTTTAATGTTAGCTGTTTACAGTAATCATATTTCCCTGCATCTTTTATAATCTCCCTTTTTAATTCCTTATCTAATTTCATTATAAAAGTCTTGTCACTGTCTCAATAATATGGCAAAACATTCTCCACTCTAATAATCTGCTATTTGAAAACATTCCTTCTAACTTTCCCTGTTCATTTGCTGAGTAATAAATTTTAATTTCTGCACATTATCAAATTGCTAATTACTCCATATCTCTAAACTTTGAAATCCTCTTCTGTTTCAAGTGAAACGATTTCACATAGAACATAGAACATTACAGCACAGTACAGGTCCTTCGGCCCTCGATGTTGCGCCGACCTGTGAAACCAATCTGAAGCCTATCTAACCTACACTATTCCATTATCATCCATATATCAACTACAGTGCAGGAACAGGTCATTCAGTCCAGGAGATCCAGACTGATCATGATACATCACACAAGCTCCATGTAATTCCATCAACTATCTCTCTAAGTACCTCTAAGCTACTTGCTGCAGCTATACTGAGTTTCGCATTCTAATCATTCTCTGGGTAAAGAAACTTCTCCTGAATTTTTCATTTGTTTTTTTTTTAAAGTGATTATCAAGTGTTTTCCATTGTCAAGATTACAGGTGTGATCAACAATGGAACCAATGAATTTTTGGTGGCCTCAAAGGCTGCTCCAGGCAGATCGCCCATTGGGAAGAGAACTTGTATTTCCTTTAAGCATTCTTGAGGAAAGTTGCATACAATCACCCACTCTTTACTCTAGTCATACACTCATTGAAAACAGGAGGTTTCTACGAGTAACAGAAGAGGAAGGTGTAGGACTGTGAGGTGTGAAGAAATGAGCAGAGAACTTGTGCCCAATGGATCACTACATCCCCTTATATTTAGGCTCATAAGTTTCCATAGCTTTTCTCCATCACCACTTTTACAAAACTCTAATTTGACCATCTCTTGAAATTTTGTAGAGAAGAGATCCACCTGCACCCTCCAGTCTATCCTAACAAATTCTCAGTTCTAAGGTTATTTTATCGTTGAGTTAAATAGCCTATAGATGGAAAAGTGACAGAGTGCTTTAATCATAGAATCCCTACAATGTGGAAGCAGGCCATTTGGCCCATCAAGTCTACACTGACCCACCCACTGCCCTATCCAAATAACCCTGCATTTCCCATGGCTAATCCACCTAGCCTCCACAACCCTGGACACTAAGGGGCAATTTTTTTAGCCTGGTCAATCTACCTAACCTGCACATCTTTGGACTGTGTGAGGAAACCTGAGCAACCAGAGGAAACTCACGCAGACACAAGGAGAATGCACAAACTCCACACAGGCAGTTCCCTGAAGGTGGATTTGAACCCAGGTCCCTGTTGCTGTGAGGCAGCAGCACTAACCACTGAGCCACCGTGCCATTATTTTTGAAGCGATAGCTTGTTAAGTTTGCAGTTATGAGAGCGCGTTTCACAATGTTACTCAAAGATGAATGAGGAAAGGACGAACTGTACTGGAATAAAGAAAGATTCCTGATCACTGCACGCAGTGATAATAAAACTTTGTAGTCAACCTGTTGTTCATGTGAGGATTCAGCAAAACTTAGCCGTCACCACTTAAAAATAGCAGCTCCCATTCCTCAGTGATTGACTCACTCAATTGTTACATCCCACTCTACAGCATGATCCTATTTAGTTTAAACTAGAACATCCCTGATGGAAAAGGGGTGTCAGAAGTTTTATAATAGATTGTCCTTTACAAGAGATCCCGCTGATCCAGGCTGAATTCTGGCAATAATGCGTGCAGGAGATGGAGGAATGTTGGTATTGCAGACTCTGCAATTATTACTATGAATCATGCGATACTGACAGCACTATAATAAAATCATAAAAAGTAGGAATAGATCATTCAGCATTTTCAAGCCTGTTCCTCCATTCTATATGATTATGGCTGATCATGCAATATAGTATCCTGTTCCCACTTTCTCCCCATACCCTTTGATCATTTTAGCCCTAAGAACTGTATCTAATGCCTTCTTGAAAATATTCAATGTTTTGGCCTCATCCCTGTGCCAGAGATTCCTATAGGCTCTCACTATCCGGTTGAAGAAATTTCTCATCTCTGTCCTAAATGGCCCACCCCGTATCCTTAGATTACGTTTCCTGTTTCTGGACTCCCTGATCATCAGGAACATCCTTCCTACATTTAGTCAGTACAGTCCTGTTAGAATTTTATAGGTTCCTATAAGATTCCCCCTTCATGCTTCTGAACTCTAGTAATTTAGCCCTAACTGATCAGTCTCTTTTCATATGTCAGTCCACTATCCCAGGAATCATATTTTGTTGCACTCACTCCATAACCTTCATATCCTTCCTCAGATGGAGGAGGTAATGACCTAGTGGTATTATCACGAGATTGTTAATCCAGAAACTCAGGTATCGTTCTGGGGATCCAGGTTCGAACTGAATTTGAATTCAATAAAAATCTGGAATTAAGAGTATATGATGACCATTAAACGATTGCCAATTGTCAGAAAAAACCATCTGATTCACTAATAGTCTTTAGGGAAGGAAATCTGCCGTTCTTACCTGGCACTGCCAATGTGTTGGCATTTGTAGCAAAAAATATTGTTAACAGGAAGGGTTTAAAAGTGTGTCACCTTGAGCTGCCAAACAGCCTGGTTCAGTTTGATGCCCAGTCCATATTCCATACCAAAGTTGACTGCCCACAGTCTATAGGAACAATCTGAAGGGTTAAGCTGCACAGTGTAGATCAGGCTGACTATAGCTGCTTTCAGATTTAGTTAGTCCTGGTTCATTAAATTTGTGGAAATTCTGGCTGCTTATTCAAGCATGTTCATTCTGCACTGTTACAAATGATTTGTTAAGGTTGAAAGCTTTACTTAAAGCAGTTAACATGAAGCTGTACAATTCAGCCTCTCCAACAGAAACCTTCAGCAAATGACAAATTGGTAACTGACTGGCAATTGTTAGTGCAGTATGGTGGCTCAGTGGTTAGTACGGCTGCCTCACAGCTCCAGAGTCTTGGGTTCAATTCCAGTCTTGGATGACAGGCTGTGTGGAGTTGGCACGTTCTCCCCATGTCTGTCGGGTTTCCATGGGGTGCTCTGGATTCCTCCCACATTCCAAAGATGTGGTCAGGTTAGGTGGATTGGCCATGCTTAATTGTCCTGTAGTGTCCAGTGATGTGCAGGTTAGATGGGTTAACCATGATAAATGAGGTTTCACAAGAATAAGATGGAGGCGTTGGGCCTGATGAGATGCTCTTTGGAGGGTTGGTGCAGTCTCAATAGACCAAATGAACTCTTTCCGCTCTGTGAGGATTCTGATTCCTAATCCTCCACCCTTTCAGATAATAATCTGCCTCTCTGCTTTTGCTACCAAAGCAGATACTCTCATATTTATCCACATCATACTTCATCTGCTGTACATTTGCCCAAATCACAGAAGCATCTCTGCATCCTCCTCACAGATCATCCTCCACTCAGCTCATCATCATAGAATCACAGAATCTCTACAGTGTGGAAGCAGGCCATTCAGCCCACCAACCCTTGAAAAAGCATCTCATCCAGATTCACCCACTACCCTATCCCTGCATCTCCCACCGTACACACTGTGTAATTGTAGATAGCACATTCCCAAGAATTCCGGCATAGCTAGATTGCAAAATGGTCCGAAAGCTAAAGGTGCAAGTTCTAGGAACTGAGACCAGTGGGGCTGGGGCCCACAGGACTTCGACTATTGGAGAAGAATGATTCATCAGGATATCTTTTGGAGTTGCGTCTCTGGGAACTGAAAATGCAGCTTATTTGAAAGTCTTCTGGCAAAGGCAAAGAAATGTTCAAACTGTCAGAATGACAGGGACATATTGTGCTACTTAATTCAAATTTACTAATCTACAATTGGATATTCTGCAAGCAACTTATTTTCAGAACACACAGGTGTACTTGGAGCAATTTTACTGAGGTAAAATTTTCCAGTCAAAGCCCAAGTCAAGGCTTTTATTTCAAATGTAACTTAGTGCTATACCCCTTTTCCTGAGCAGGAATGCTATGTCCTGTGACAAAGCACAAACTTCAGGCTTACACTCAGGTGCAGTACCCTGGGAATACGGTGTTGATGGAGGTTCTGTTGTTTGGATAAGATATCTAACCTAGACCCTCTGAGGTGGATGTAAAAGATCCCTGTGCACTATTCAAAGGGGGTAGAGGAATTATCTCTTGTGTAGTGACCAATATTCCTCAATCATCAAAAAAGATTCTGTTTATCATCACATTGTTGATCATGGGATCTACCTGTCTGCAAACTGGCTGGCATATCGCTACACTGCAACCACTTCAATCGTTGCCAAGAAATTTCAACATTCTTAGGTCAAAATGTTCATTTAAGTTTTGATTCGTCAGAATGATATCAGGGCTATAAAAAGATTAAGTTATTAAGATTTGTGAGTTTCTTAAGAATTTCTACATTTTTCAAGTACAAATTTTAAAGACGGCATAAAATGATATGAAAATAATGCAATGGGCAAGTTCAATTAAACTTCAAAGAAACATTAATCCTTTTAATTTATTTCGGTCAAAACCTTATCTTGGACATTAAAAATATCCATTACTAATATAGAAGACAATGGCTGTTTATCGACAAACATGATGTGGAGGTGCGGGGGTGGACAAGGTCAGAAATCACACAACACCAGTTTATAGTCCAACAGGTTTATTTGAAAACACAAGCTTTCAGAGCTTCAGTCCTTCTTCAGGTGACAAGCTTGTGTTTCCAAACAAACCTGTTGGACTATAACCTGGTGTCGTGTGATTTCTGACCCTGATCAACAAACATTGTAAGATCCTATTACAAATATTTTCACAGGTAGTTTCCATATTAAACATGACAGCATTAAAAACTCTGTCACCAGGAGGGTCTATTGATAGAAAATGTATGCAAGAGCAGTACTTTGAAAATATTTTCAAATAGCCTCGCTCCAGTGAAACTGAAATAATCCTGTTGAACAAGATTTTAAAATATCATACAATCAGGTGACAGTAAGATACTTATAACAGAAAGACATTCAAAAGCAGAAGGGAGTTCCATGGCTGCAACTGACCACGGTTTCTGCACTAATCTATAACTTGGTTATGAATACAGAAATAGGTGGTGGCATCTCAGCTGCTATATCCTGCTCTAACATTAATCTGGAATATGACACCTGTAAATTCTACAATGGTATCACACCTCTTCATACAACATCTAACAGAAATCTATCAATCTCAGCTTTGGAGTTTTTAATTGACTCCCAGCCTCTCAACATTTTGGCAGAGTGTTCAGATTGTTACTCCCTTTTGAGTGACAAACAGCTTTTGACATCACCACCCAGTGGGCCTGGCTCTAAATTTGAAGTCCTGCCCCTTACTCTGGATTCCCTATCCCTAAACCAAAAGTGAAACCCTCGCCTAGAAGAGGTGATAGCCTCTCTCTAGACACCCTATAATCTCCTTTAATCACCTGAAACACGAGAGAGTTGTGGGGGGCAGAATCCATGTGTACATTTAAGGCTGAGATAAATAGATAGACGATCAGTAGGGGAATCAAGGGTTACGGGAAAAGCAGGAAAGTGGATGTCAGGAATGTCAGAACAGCCATGATTCCATTTAATGTTGGAGAAGATTTGAGACACCAAATGGCCTACTCCTGTTCCTATGTCTTATGGAAGACAGTAAGAAAGAGTCGAGACTACAATCAGATCAGCCATTTTATCAAATGGTGGAGCAGGCTTGAAGGGTTGAGTGGCCTCCTCCTGATCCTAAGGCCTATGTTTCTGTTAGATATCAGTTCCACACAGTGAAAAGTACAGAAATTAAATGAAGACATTAATATAAATGACACACCAATTGTAGACATTTTCTTCAGCTTTACAACTCCCATTTTGATCTCTAGCAATATATACACTGTCTTCCTCTGTCCAACTGTTGGTGGCTGTGTCTTTGGCCCAAAGTCAGGAATTTCCAACTTTACATTCTTCAACCATCCCCTCATTTAAAACTTTCCTTAAAATCCACTTATCAAACTTCTGTACCAACCAGCTTTACTCTTGTTCTTTAGCTCAGTAGTCATTCCTTTCCTCACTGACACAATTTGTGATATTTTCCTATATTAAAGACGCTGTACCAATAAAACTGGTATTCATTCTAGAATTGTCACATACCATTTACCAGCAAACTGCTTTCCGATTTCTGGACAGACGTTTCACTTGTTCCACCACCACCACCAAAGCTAATTCTTGGTCGAGGCACTGGATGTGGTGTTGCCATGGGTGATGATACAGAGTCAACTGTTTTCCTTGGGACAGGAACAGGAGGCTTCAGCTTCTCGTCAGGTGTTGTTTTGTTCACTGAAGCTAAGTTTGTGTTCTGGCTTTCACTGACATAGCTGGCTGGAGTCCCCGTGGTGTTGCTGTTCACCACATTCTCTGTGGCATTGCCCATGTCCATATTTGTTGCTTGCTGCTGCTTGTTCTGAGACTCCTGCAGTTTTGGCTCCAGTCCTGATAACAGCTGTTCGCCCACCTCATGCTCAGCCTGTTCTTTGGGATCACGAGAGTCTGATGATCTTCGTGCTCCCTTTGTTAGGTGAGATTCCACTTCAGGCTCTGATGTGCCCTTGAAATCAGAACTGTTGGAAAGCTCCAGCTGTCTTGCTGCTGTGCCAGTGCTCGGGTGGCTCTTCTCAGTGGAGACTGAAAAGGCTGCAGAAAACTGCTTAACTGAAATGGAAAGACCCTCTTGGGCGTTTGATGGCTCCACTCCTTCCTCTTCGTTTACTTTTGGCTCTAATGACAGGCTGCCTTTATCGTCTTCCGATCCTTCTGTGATTCCTAGGGAATGGTGCAATGTCTGTGGGCTAGCTGATGAAAGTGTCTGTGCAGGCAAGAAGCCAGAGCCCTGATGCGATTGTAGAATGGACAGAGGACGTTGCAGCCGACCGGTGACTTGCCCTCGATGGTGCGTACAGACAAAGGTGCCCAAATCTGAGCCAGGTTTATAGGCTCCAGGGAGCAGAGTACTGGAGCACTCCTTACACCTGCATGGAAAGAGAACACGTGAATGATTAAATCAGCAGGGCAGAGCATGCAGCAGTACTTGACCAGGGTAAAAACAAATTGATGTCGAAACCCAGCAGGTCTGACCGCATATGTGGGACGAAAGCAGAATTAACTTTTGGTGATTCTTTATCAGAATGACTGGGGTTGGACACAAAGGTTTGGGGTACTGTTCCCAACATAATATAAACTACCTTCCCCCCTCAAACCTAAACCTCCCCATCACTATAACGACACTTCCTATACCTGTTGCTCTGGTAGAAGCTGATTTGCTTCAATATTATCTTTCATATTTTATTACTTAATTTTCATAAAAGTCTCCTTTTACTGCCAAGCTTGGCACTTTCTTTTAAAATCACAGAGGAACATTTAAGCTTTTTACTTTTGTTAAAAAGAAATTGTTCACGGGATAAACATGTCACTAGCAAGGTTAGCATTTATTTCTGCCTCAAATAGATCTCGAGAAGTTTTAGGACAGTGGTCACGATAAGACCAGGTCAACGATGGTCACAACACAATTCTCAATCGCTATTATTCAGATCACTGCTTCTGTTTTTACATTAGAAGCCAGAATGTCCTTTCTTTCTGGGACAGTTTCTACCCATTAGTCTGTAGGTATAACCAAAGAATTCCAGAATATGAGGCCACTGAGGAGAGGGGGAGTTTAATAAAGGCAGTCACACTTGACACAAATGTGATCGTCAGAGCCAGTTACTCAGCACAGGGCATCCTTGCAAGTTTCAGTCCAGCCATCTCCAGCCGCTTCACCAATGAACTTTGCTCTTTCATAAGATCAGGACTGGGGCTGTTCACTGACAGTTCTTGTGTTCAGCTCCAAATACAATTCCTCTGATAATGAAGCAGCCACTCTATAGCAGAATCTGGTTCATACACAGGCATGTGCTGACTTTGGGATGGTAGCATTTTTACATATAGCGGCCCTCCTAGATAATCAAAAGCCCAGTGACTTCTTCAAGTGCCCAGCAGCAGCATCTGGCAGCTCATCATTGGCCAGAATCTTAAAGTCAATCATATCAACACCCTGCATGCAAGAACAGGCGGGATAAGCAACTCAACCTCTGACTTCACCCCCTCCAAAAAGTCTCATCTAGGTTGAACTTGGGAATATGATTAAATTCTCTCCACTCACTGCTTATGGATGAAACAGGCAGCAATACTCAAGAAGCTTGACACCATCCTAAACATAGCCTGTCACCGTGTTCATGATTCCTAATCCCTTCACGCATCGTATGGAATACATATAATTCATAGGGCATAGGTTATCAACACCACCTTAATCAGTTGCAGCAATGGAGAAAACCACTACCTCCAGGTCCCACACTGTCCTGATCTGACCACACATCTGTTCCTCCACTATGGCTACATTAGAACCCTGGAATTCCCTACTGAACAGCATTATACTTCACCATACAAACTGTAGCAGTTGAAGACATAGAGCACCAGCTCCTAGGTCAGCTATAACGTGGCAGAAAATGTGGTTGTGTTAGTGTCTTCCACACCCTGAGAACTAAGAAAGAACTAGAAAAGCTAAATTAAACACACAATATATAAGTGATATTGATATCCTGTTAACGTTCTTCATAAAGATTACTCATGTGCCTGCTGAACTGGGCCTATGTCAATACAGGAAGCCGCTAAATAACCTGGGTCAGAAAACATTACAGGTCTAAGTAAGTGACTTTTACTGTTATGCATTGTGTAAATGAACTTAGATATCAATAACTTCACATTTCAGTCAGGAATCTGTACTTGCATTTCACTTTACCTAAAGCAGTTGCGATGATATAGTTTCCCATCCACCAAGTATCTCTGCACCAAGTGAACATGTTTGCTGCAAATTGCACACGTGCTGCTGAGTGTATTCCAGCGAGGTCTCTCAGCAACTTCCTCTGAGGAATGACTCTGGGAGATAAAGGACGTGGAGGTTAGGAATGACAAACCAACAACGAGGAGTCTGTGAAGCAGACTGACACCCACCCTTTACATAGACTTACGTAGTGCACAGCATAGAAGCAGGCCATTCAGCCCAATAGGTCCATTCTCCAAGAGCCTCCTTCCATCCTTCACCTAATCCTGTCCAAAAGCTCTTCCATTCCTTTCTTTCATATATTTATCCAGGTGGTATCTATGCAATTTATCAGCCACTCCCTGTGATAGTGAGTTCCACATTCTTACCATTCTCTGGCTATGAAAGCTTTTCCTCTACAAACTCACAATTCACTTTACTGGTGACTGTTTTATATTTATTTCCCCACAGACAGAAATATGTTCTCAATGTCCGCTCTGTCAAACTCTTTCATATTTAAAGACCCCTAACACTGCTCTCAGCCTTCTCTCTTCTAGAGAGAGGAACTCTAGTGTGTTCAATCTTTCATTATAATTATAACCTCACAGTTTTGATTACTGTTTATAATAGGAACCAAAAACATGCATGGTGGGTATTAATTCTGAGCACATGGGGCTTGAGGGAATGCAGTCACTTAGTGCCAGGTGGCTGGGATATCCTTTCCAGACAAATGATGTTACATTTTAAGAATGCTGACAAGTTAAGAGGCATAGAATACAAACCAGCAGCTGACAGCTTGCTTTAGATGGTTTGATTTGACAGTTTTACACTCTGAAGTAAAGAGCCTTAGGCTAATTCAACAACTCACTTGATCGAAGTATTTAGTTTCAAATTGCAATGGGAGACCCCACTCTGCCCTTCACCCCATCCTCTTCCCACCCACCAACCTGACCCTCCCCTCCCTAGTGACCACCTTTCTCTCCACCATCTGAGCACCGAGCTAACGAAGAAGACTGCTGCCCTTTAAAGGACCCAGCTCACCTTTTCAGTCCATTGTATTACACAGAAATAAAAATTAGTTGAGTCCAATAACAGAGCCTCACCCTACTCTGTCCCACACCAACATTAGATTACTTCCCAGGTAGATATAGACTAAACGTTACCACATATACAGCCCATAACTTCAGCTGAAGAATTCCAATAAAACACACCAAGAATTTCTGAAACAATTCATGTCAGACACAGAATAAATGAATGTAACTAAAAACATTATCTCAGCTCATGTTATTTTTGTTTCTTTTTAACCAGACCTACCTGTTACAGCAATGGAGAGACAGTATTATTGCTGTTGCGTACTGCAATGGCAGGATTTGTTATTTGCTAGCTGGTAGTCTCCAACAGCTTTGTGCATTCAGATCTCATCTTACACAGAATTACAGGTACAGCAGACAGTTCATTTGGCCCAATCAGCTCATACATCACACATTTCATCACATTCAGCCACCTCATTGTTGAGAAGCTTCAGTTATGAGGGTAGATTGGAGACACTGGGACTGTTCACCTCAGAGAAGATGATAAGAGCAGATCTGACAGAAATGTTGAAAATCATGAGGCAGCAGAATAGAATAGCTATGGAGAAACTGTTCCTGCTCATAAAAAGATCAAGAATGAGATGACACAGAGATAAAGTGATTTGTAAAGGAAGCAAACGCCATGCGAGAAAAAAAACTTTTTCACAATGAGTATTTTGGGTCTCAAATGCACTGGCTGGAGGTTTGGTAGAGCCAGGTTCCAATGAGGCATTCAAGAGAGCATTAGATGATTATTTAAATAAAAACAATATGCAAGAATAATGATCTAAAAGCAGGAGAATGGTACTAAGTCACAATACACTTTAGTGTGCTGGTGCACCCACAAGGGCTGAGTGGCCTCCTATGTCATAACACTTCTGTGAAAAAAACTTCTGGAGATGAGAAATGGTAGCAAGTATATAAAAGGACACAGAGGCATCAAAGCTTAGATGATTTCAATGGGGCAGTGCAGGTAGGATGCTGACAAGTGCCAGATTCAGAAACTAAGAATAGGCAATGATACATTTGCTACAGCTGCTTCTATTAATTTAAGAAAAACTGCTGCATTGACTGTTAGAGGCGAGGAGTGTTGTAAGCAGAGGTGTGGAAGTTGAACAGATGAGTCTCACTTTTTTAAGACAGTGCTTGCCGAACTAGAGTTTGTTGTGGGCTGCTGTTGACGGGAGACAAGGAGCCGAAATTCTTTGCCAGGACAGATTCTTGAAGGACGTTGTGACTGAAATTGGTGACATATATGCTGAATGGACTGCCAAGCCAATTTAGAATATCTGTCTTAGATATAGCTGCCATTTAACATGTCATTTATAGCGTATAATCAACAAATTGTAGTTAATTTATGCTGGTTCTGGTTCTGAGTATGTATGCTTTCCAACATAGTATTTAGTGTTTGCTTTGTTGACTCTTGTATAGTAAAAGCTGTTATGGTTAAATAATGGAATCTTGTGGTTTCATTTTTTCAGTAACTAACTGGGAATCCAGATTTCATTTTAAAAATAAACCACTAGTTTTGATTAAATCATAACAATGATCAACTGTTATACTTCTAATGCTAAACAAGTGTGGATGCTGGAAATCTGAAACAGTAACAGAAATAATCAGAGAAATTCAGCAGGCCTGGCAGCATCTGTGGCGACAAAGCAGATTCAACATCTTAAGTCCAGTGACCTGAAGAAGGATCCAATGCTGCTGCTTAGATCCTATTTGTAATGATTCTTGAAGAGCTCCTCGTGGCACAGTGATAATGTCCCAGCCTCTCAGCCAGAAGGCCCAAGTTCAATTTCTGCCTGCTTCAGCGGTATGTCATAACACAGCAGAACAGGTTGATTAAGAAATATGTATAAATACTATAAATTTAAAATTATTATCCCTCAATTCAAATAATTTATGGTCTCACCACTCCCTGCCTTTTCCCAACTCTATTTCTAGATCTTTCCATTCTTTTGAATCACTGCATCCCCTCTAATTACTCCACCATTGGTGATCAGGCCTTCAGCCACCTTGGCCCCAAATTCTCGAATTCCACACCGTCAATCCTTTCCTTCTTCTTCCTCTAAGTTCCCCCAATTAAAAACTGCCTGTTCTTCAATACCTGCTCCTTTTGGTCTGCAACAATTTTTTTCACATTCATGCCTCTGTCAAGCCCCTGGGATGCTACTCTACACTAATGATGTTATCAAAATACAAATAGTTGTCAATGAGATTACAAGGATAATGTGATTGTCAATAAATAATATAATTTCCTTGATAGTTAGTAGGATTACCAGAGTCAAGCTATTCAAATTGTTTTGAATGAATGGCACAGACTTACATTTGGTAAGAGGACTTGTTTGCTCACAGTGACTGGTTTTTTGATCGATGGTTCTGATGGTGATATCCCAGCAGGTCTCTTCATGGAGGGGGGAACTCCAGCTACAGAAAAAACAACAACATAATCCTGCAGTCTTCAAAATCCTAACTGACCATTCAACACTCTTTCCCTTTTTACAGGGCGCACGTCAACAGCGTAAAGTAGAAACAAAAGGTCTTTTTAAAAAAAAAACTGACACACATTCCATACACAAAAGCCATCACCCTAAATATAATTTTCACTGACTGGTGAAGTTACAGCTAAACTATTGCATGTTTGCCTGTAATACAGTCATTTCATGTCAAGTAATTCCTAGTATGTAAAATGCTTGGACTTGTGATAACGTATTAATGTAAATCTTTATGGAATAATTTTTTTCAATAAAAATTGTACAATTGATATTTTATTCACTACAATACCATCCACATTTACCCTGCATATAGTACCTCCTAAACTGCTGTAGCTTTAAACTAGAGACTCCAGACTGATTTGCAAGGAATTCAATGTTTGCTCGGACATTCAACTGAAAGAAACTCGATTGGACAGTGGCTTATTGGACTCTCTAACGCATGTGAGTCAATTCCAATATTTCACTATCCTTAACATGTCTGGTCTACATGTAATTGCAGATCCACAGCAACGTTATTGATTCTTAACTGTAGTTTGGGATAGGCAATAAATTCTAGCCTAGCCAGTGACACTCATTTCATGAACCAATAGGGAAAAAAATGTCTTAGACATATTTGTAATTCATAATTTCTTTCCTTTTTCTTTCTTCCTTCCTTTTTCTTTCTTGGATGCGTGACTCTGTTGTAAACCATTACCATTACCATTAAATGCAGTAATAAACCTTTGCTTTAAGCTTAAAGAATTTGCTATGGCGAGAAAACAGAAAGACTTCCATTTCCCAAAGCTGTTTCTTATTTTTCCAAAGCAACTGGTAGAGCCTAATAATTACAAATTTGGGACCAAATGAGCTTTTTCTCTGTCGGGTAAATGGGGGAAACTCCTTGGCCATTGCTGCTTTGAGATTGTTGTCACATTGAATCAAGCAGATGTGTTCATTCTGCACCCTTTCATATCTCCAATGATATTACACCTATAAAGGGAGCAACAGTAGCTTGGAAGACTTGCTACCAACATTTTCAGCCAAAACCTTGGTGGGGAACGCACGTTCACTGTGACCACAATCTCAAAGCAGCAGCAACTAAGGAGCTCCTCCTTTCAGCTGACAGAATGAGGAAGGGATATTTTCAGCTTCTCAAAGCTTGCAATATGACCAAGTATCAGTTTTGGTACCAGTTTCATGGTCACTAAACTGCCATTACTGAAAACTGTTCTATTGTGTTCCTTCACTTCTGTCTTGTCTTATTTTATTCAACTGTGAATATATATCAGCTTTCACATTTCACAAGACAATTGCTGTTCTAGATGCTCTTGATCAGATGGGCCAATGGGCCAAAGAGTGGCAGATGGAGTTTAATCTACAATTTATGGTAAGGTCCTAGGAAGTGTTGCCAAACAAAGAGATCTTGGAGTGAAAGGTTCCTTGAAAGCGGAGTTGCAGGTAGATAGGATAGTGAAGAAGGCATTTGGTATGTTTGCCTTTATTGGTCAGTGCATTGAGTATAGGAGGTGGGAGGTGGGAGGTCATGTTGAGGCTGTACAGGACATTTGGTTAGGCGACTTTTAGAATACTGCGTTCAATTCTGGTCTCGCTGCTGTAGGGAAGATATTGATAAACTTGAAAGGGTTCAGAAAAGATTCGCAAGGATTTTGCCAAGGTTGGAGAATTTGAGCTATAGGGAGAGGCTGAATAGGCTGGAGCTATTTTCCCTGGAGTGTCGGAGGCTGAGGGGTGTTCTTATAGAGGTTTAAAAAATTATGAGGAGTATGGATAGGGTGTACAGTCAAATTCTTTTCCCCAGGGTAGGGGAGTCCAAAACTAGGTTTAAGGTGAGACGGGAAAGATTTAAAAGGGACCTAAGGGGCAACTTTTTCATGCAGAGGGTGGTACATGTATGGAATCAACTGCTAGAGGAAGTGGTGGAGGCTGGTAAAATTACAACATTTAAAACGGATCTGGATGGGTACATGAATAGAAAGGGTTCAGAGATATATGGGCCAAATGCTGGCAAATGGGACTAGATTAATTTAGGAATTCTGGTCAGCATGGACAAGCTGGACCAAAGGGTCTGTTTTTGCACTGTACATCTCTATGACTCTATGTAATAACAGCCTGCAGAGTGGGTGGACTGCATCTGAAAGTTCCTCAGTAGCTCGCTGTACTTCACTGACTAAAACAAGCTTATATAATTACAAGGTTTCAAGTTTCAATGTAAGTCAAAATCTAATCAGAGTTCCAAAATGCAGTGGAACTGCAGTGGCTCAGTGTGCAACTCCATACCGTGGGTTTTGTTGGTGAAATAGTTGTAGAGCTGAGAAACATAGGTCAGAATGCTGAGACGGTCTGGAACACGCAAGGCCACCATATCCTCTGGGTCCAAGAGCGCTGGAATTCCCAACTCCTGTTCAGCCACTTCAAATGCCTATGGAAACAGAGACACACAAGAAATAAGTGCTAAGCAGTTTAAAGGTCTAATGTGGAACACATTCTTCCAGGGAGTGGATTACCATTGTCAGGCGCAACCACAGAAGCTCGAGGACATCATCATTCAATTAGACATTTGATTGCCTTCTCAACTCAATGCCAAGTTCAGAAATTTCGGATCATATTTTCCATCCCATTTTGTTAATGTTAACTGTGAGTAATGATTCTGCTTTTCCTATTTATACTTCCTCTAGGTCTGGCTTTTGTTTCCTTACTGGTTCCACCCCCTTTAGCCTTGCACCATCATCCTTTTTGCCTTAATTTCTCTTGCTTTCTAGCTATCACAGCCTTTTGTTTTTCCCACCGTTACTGTACTTATTTAAAACTTGTTACATCTCTAATGTTTCAAGTTCTCACAAAAGCTTAGTGTCTTTGTTATCACTTTATAGTGGATTAGCTCATGTAAACAGTATGCACACATTATCCAGACCAGGACTCCGACTACCTTTGTGCAATTAGGGTGACCTCACAGTACCTCTCCCTACCATGGGAGTAAGACCATAAGACATAGGAGCAGAAATTAGGCCATTCGGCCCATCGTGTCTGCTCTGCCATTCAATCATGGCTGATAAGTTCCTCAACCCAATTTTCCTGCTTTCTCCCCGTAACCCTTGATAATCAAGAACCTATCTAAGTCTTAAATGTACTCAATGATCTGGCCTCCACAGCCTTCTGTGGCAGTGAATTCCATAGACTGACCACTCTCTGGCTGAAGAAGTTTCTCCTTGTCTCCGTTCTGAAAGGTCTTCCCTTTACTCTAAGGCTGTGTCCTCGGGTCCTAGACTCTCCTACCAATGGAAGCATCTTCCCAACATCCATTTTGTCCAGGCCATTCAGTATTCTGAAAGTTTCAATTAGATCCCCCGCTCATCCTTCTAAACTCCAATGAGTATAGTCCGAATGTCAAAGAACAAAGAAAATTACAGCACAGGAACAGGCCCTTCAGCCCTCCAAGCCTGCGCCGATCCAGATCCTCTATCTAAACCTGTCACCTATTTTCCAAGGATCTGTATCCCTCTGCTCCTTGCCCATTCATGTCTGTCTAGATACATCTTAAATGGCGCTTTCGTGCTCGCCTCTACCACCTCCACTGGTAACCTGTTCCAGGCACCCACCACCCTCTGTGTAAAGAACTTTCCACGCATATCTCCCTTAAACTTTTCCCTCTCACCTTGAAATCGTGACCCCTAATGATTGAGTCCCTCACTCTGGGGAAAAAGCTTCTTCTATTCACCCTGTCTATACCTCTCATGATTTTGTAGACCTCAATCTCCGTCTTTCTAATGTAAATAATCCTAATCTACTCAACCTCTCTTCATAGCTAGCGCCCTCCATACCAGGCAACATCCCGGTGAACTTCCTCTGCATCCTCTCCAAAGCATCCACATCGTTTTAGTAATGTCGCGACCAGAACTGTATGCAGTATTCCAAATGTGGTTGAACCAAAGTCCAAAACAACTGTAACATGACCTGCCAACTCTCATACTCAATACCCCATCCGATGAATGAAAGCATGCTGTATTCCTTCTTGACCACTCTATCGACCTGCGTTGCCACCTTCAGGGTACAATGGACCTGAACACCCAGATCTCTCTGTGCAATTTTCCCCAGGGATTTTCCATTTACTGTATAGTTCGCTCTTGAATTGGATCTTCCAAAATGCATCACCTCGCATTTGCCTGGATTGAACTCCATCTGCCATTTCACCGCCCAACTCTCCAATCTATCTATATTCTGCTGCATTCTCCGACAGTCCCCTTCACTATCTGCTACTCCACCAATCTTAGTGTCATCTGCAAACTTGCTAATCAGACCATCTATACCTTCCTCCAAATCATTTATGTATATCACAAACAACAGTGGTCCCAACATGGATCCCTGTGGAACACCACTGGTCACAGTTCTCCATTTTGAGAAACTCCCTTCCATTACAACTCTGCCTCCTGTTGCCCAGCCAGTTCTCTATCCATCTAGCTAGTACACCCTGGACCCATACAACTTCACTTTCTCCATCAGTCTACCATGGGGAACCTTATCAAACGCCTAACTGAAGTCCATGTATATGACATCTACAGCACTTCCCTCATCTATCAATTTTGTCACTTCCTCAAAGAATTCCATCAAGTTGGTAAGACATGACTTTCCCTGCACAAAACCATGTTGCCTATCTCTAATAAGCCCATTTTCTTCCAAATATAAATAGATCCTATCCCTCAGTATCTTCTCCAGCAGCTTCCCCACCACTGACATC